CATGTATGTTAGGTTTATATTATGGATTGCTTGCTTTTGGTCTGGACAACAAATGTTACTGTTATTACGAAAGTCACCGAACTGTGGAATCGCATCAAAAATTCGTATATCGACCACTCCCACAAACGTCTACGACCACGCCTACATTCGATTACATAGTTTTGCATGTTTACAATTCTAATTTTGAACAGCCAATCAGGTTCTTGGTAATTGGCTGTTTAAAATTAGAATTGTAAACGTGCAAAACTATGTAGGCGCGGTCGCAGACGTTTGTGGGAGTGGTCGATATACAAATTTTTGATGCGATTCCACAGTTCGGTGACTTTCGTAATATATTACAGGCAGGCAGACAATAACAATTTACTTGAAGCAAACATATGTCGTTGACTCTTGTTACAGCAGGTGTAAAAATTGCAATAAGTTTTTCCCAACTTTTTCTTAGATTTTAAGTTTTCAACTCAAACTGTCTCGGTGGTCATGATCTGCTGTATTCTAGTTTACAACGTGAGTAATCTGTTTAGATATTTCAAATGGGAATGTTTTAGGGGCTTATTATACCTGGAAAATTATCAACCCGGCTGCTGAAGTAATATGCCAAACTAGCTGTAAATAAAAACAGAAAAGATATGTAAATTAGTAGGAGAGTAGAATTTAGCCGCGTATCCCATTCTGCTAATGTATCTTCTCGAAACAAAGTACATCCATGCAAGTCCATGTATGAAATCAACTCTTAATATATATCAATATAAAATATCCGTATATCATCACGAAATATTTTAGTATAAATGTTCTTTCATTTATAGATCACCATTAAACTTGTGTTTGTCTTCAGCGTCATTCTGGACCAAGTTAGGAAGGAAACTGACCAAGAATTGCCCGAAATTATCGCGAACGCTTTGCGCGGGGTGTTTGGTTAGTATTGTTCGAAATAAACTCTTCAAGTGAATAACATTAAGGAAACATATATCGTCTATTTTGCAGTTTCAGGATATACCTGTCACGTTTTAGGGGGAGTTGCTATTTTTATAGACTTTTGTAATTTTGTCTTCTTTTGTATTTTAAACTTAACCCTAATCTTAACCCTTACTCTAATCCTAACCCTACTCTTATTCCTAACCCTAATCTTAATCCTAACCCTTACTCTAATCCTAATCCTAACCCTAATCTCAATCCTAACCCTAATCTTAATCCTAACCGGTATCTTAATTCTACCCCTTTCCCGAATCCAAACCATGATCCTAATCCTAAAAGTCTAAAAATAGTAACTCCCCCAGAAACCGTGACTCACATGTTTCAGAATGTTAAGACTGAGATTTATACTGGAAAAGATTTCTATACTTAGCCAATAATAGACAATTCCCATTATAGACTAATTTTTATCTTGGCAAAAAAGTATATTCCGGGAAAGAGCACACTAAAATGAGTAAAATTGCAAAGTTTGGTTGCGAAATGTTGTAAAATGCGGAAAACATAGCCTTGCAAAGTTCACAAATTTTGTATACTTCTGTATTGCGTGCGGAAATTGCTACCACATTTGGGCCGAAAATGGTAGCAATTTTCAAAAGTATACAAAATTTACAAACTTTGCAAGGCTATATTTTCCGCATTTTACAACATTTCTCAACCAAAGTTTGCAAGTTTACTCATTTTAGTATGTTCGTTCTAGCAGTGTGGTGATTTATTTGCATATCCTTGCCTATTGTTAAAATTAGCCTATAATAGGAATTGTCTATTTACTGAGTACCACTTCTCGTGACTTGAAATTGCACAAGCCAACAATATACTTCCTACACTACATGTAGTTTAATATGATCAGTCATCTTTTTGCTCGTTTCTCTCGTTTTAAGATGAAATGAACTCTCCGGACCGATAGGGATACAACTTCCCGAAAAATATAAGGAGCTGAACTTGGACGTTTTGACTGAGCAAAGGCCTTTCTATCGAACGAAGGGGTCGACAGCTCATGTGGAAAATAGAGTGTACCTAAAAGTCGAGGGTCGAGAGTCGAGAGTAAAGGTCGAGAGTCGAGAGTAAAAGTCGAGAGTCGAGAGTAAAAGTCGAGAGTCGAGAGTAAAAGTCGAGAGTCGAGAGTAAAAAGTCGAGAGTCGAGAGTAAAAAGTCGAGAGTCGATCGAGAGTAAAAAGTCGAGAGTCGATCGAGAGTAAAACGTCGAGAGTCGGCAAATGTCATCAGAAACAACACATTGGGGGGTCAAAATATTTTTAACACAATATATAACCAATCCGTAACAACGGCTGATTATAGCCGTACGGGCGAGGGGGGGGAGGCAGTCCCGCCCCCCAGTCAAAATAAAGTCATGCAAATTATAAACGTATAAATTCGGGCAAAAATTGGGGGAAATAAATTTAAAAAGAAGACAGTACATGCAATATGGTATTTGAAAATACCAGAAATATGTAAAAGTAACGAGGAATCGACAAATAGGAAAATATTTTTGTCTACTTCCCAACGACAATTTTGGAAATTTAGTTACACGGAAAATTTTATTCAGTGGGTAATGACGGAATGTGTATCGGAACATAAAGCAAACAATATTTGCGAAACATAATTAGTAAGCTCAAATTCTCGAAATTAAAGTAAACAAGAGGCATATACAATCAAAAGAATAATCCAGTATAATATAAAACAAAACTTTTCTCAAAAATTTAGCCACAACATTCAATAATAATAACTATTATCTATAAATAACTAGTTTTATCGCTTCCTTATATATTACTGCCCATCCTTCCCGCTTTTACATGCACCTATTTCCGCGAAAAATTACTCATATGTGAAGCTACATATAAATACTAGGACTTTACAATCACGTGCGAGACATATTACCACCCGATAGAGTCACATACGACAAAAGAATCCTATTTTTACTGGCTCGTATTTATGAATTCACAATTGTATGAATCGTTAGATTGTGATCAACGTGGATTTCTTAATTCGCTCTCGTTTGATATAAACGTACGTTAATGAATAAGTGACATTTTAGTTACAAGCCTGGAGAGCCATGTCAAAATTCAGCGGAGTTTATGTGCATGTCAGTTAGAATGAAATGACATGTGAAAACATTTAGCAAGATTGAGGCATCAAATGCGATATTATTTTCTTATCCAATCTTTTTTGTTTTTGTTATCACGTTATTATTATTGACGTTGGCGGAAATCTTGGTGGGCCGCCCCCCCCCCCCCTACCTTCCGGAAAATTGACTAATTTTCGGAAATTTTGATCTAAAAGTGGGCTAAAAACAGTCTTTTCGAGTGCAAATGGGGGGGGGGGTACGTCGGACATTTCAAAGTTTTGTCGGAAATTTATGAGGCTTTGCCCCCTCCCCCCCCCACACCGGAAAAAGTGAATTTCCGCCACTGATTATTGACTGTTGTAGCAATATTTATTGGAAAGTTTGTATTTCAGCCGTTGGTACTTGTTACGGAATGGCTATGTAAAGCTATATATATATAGATTGTGTTAAACGTGGTTAAAAAATAAAAATATTTTGACTTTGTTTCTGATGACATTTGCCGACTCTCGACTTTTTACTCTCGATCGACTCTCGACTTTTTACTCTCGACTCTCGACTTTTTACTCTCGACTTTTTACTCTCGACTCTCGACTTTTACTCTCGACTCTCGACTCTCGACTTTTACTCTCGACTCTCGACCTTTACTCTCGACTCTCGACCCTCGACTTTTAGATACACTCTGGAAAATATGCTTGAAGGTGAAGAAACGAAAGATTTAAATGAGGGTTATTTATCATTTTTATGTTTTTTTCTTTATAGGTTCCATGATTGCTGCTACAATTCTTGGTGCCATTTTTTGTCTTGTCTCTCTTGTTCGTTTCATGGAGAATCATAAGTATGTCTAAAATTCGTATATATTTTCCCAACCTCGTTCTCAGGGCTTCAGTGTGAGGACGAGGCGAGATATTTTCCTTGATATGGTTTTGTACTGCACGCCGTTTTTTTCTCGACAACTTTTTCAAGAAGTGTTATTACAGAATACAGACGTTACAGAAGGCCAACTTAATATGCCTATGATTTTCGAGTAACCGTTGCAATGCCGTCGCCCTGTTACTACCCAATGCGTTTATGAGAGGCATTCACCCTCCTGAAAATATTCAAAATGGCGGACATTCAGGGTGTGATTGCCTCTCATAAATGCAGTGGCTAGGAACATGACGAGTGCGGTTACGCGTTTCTGGCTTCTTATCTTTTCAGAAGAGAGAATGGAACGTTTCTATAAAAACCAAAAAAATTAAAATTTTGGATATTTTTTGAAATTATTTGACATTCAAAAACGGATCCGACTTTTTGTTCATCTGAATTTGCATGAACGTATCTGACAAAACTGTTTGAAATTCACCAAAGTTG